TCCTTTTGTCCCAAGAGACTCTGGGTCCTACCTAGACCATCATCTCATGCCTGTTTGCCGAGCACTGCCATGATGTCTCTGTTCTGAGCCTTTGGAGTGCCCTCAGCATGCTGCCAGCACCTCCCTGTTGCCAAATGTAATCCCAGGCGGATGTTATAGGTTGGACTGTGTGCCCGTAAGAGACCTGTTGGAGTGTGAACTTTGGTACCTGTGAATGCGACCTTGTTTGGAAACAGTCTTTGAAGATGTTGTCAGTTCATAGGAGGTCACACTGAAGCAGGCTGGGTCTTCATCTAGTATGAGTGGTGTCCTTGTAAAAGAGGACAAGAGACAAAGAGACCGGGAGACAGAGGAAGGACACCGTGTCATGCTGCCGCTGGGAGCCACCAGAAAGTGGGGGAGAGGCAGGAACAGATGCCGCATCAGAGCCTCGGAAGGAATTGACAAGGCTGGCACTTCGATCTTGGACTCCAGGACAAAGTTCCCACCCCGAGTCCAGAACTGCAACCTCGGCTCTCCACCCTGACAGCAAACGAGCAGACAAAATGCACAGCCCACAGCTTCAAAAGGAATGTCTGTGCCCGACTCTACATGCAAACGTGCTGTTTGGCTTTGGGATTCCAGCATCGTGAGGGGCACCCGGTTCTCAGACATTCTGGGATGACTTTTGTTAGAACTGGCATGGGGACCAGGGGCACTGCATCATGAGAACTTTGTTTCACATGGAACAGGTCACCTGACACTAGAATCCATGGAGGAGAAAATAAAAATTCATGAAGCTTAAGCTCCATTTTTTGTGTGTGTGTGTTCATCAAATAATGCATGTCCCCAGCTCCCCAGCAAGCACACAGAAAGGCTGTTGAAGGCGCCAAACTCTCTTCTCACATCCACGGATGGCCCCTCTCAGCTCTGTCCATGGGAGCAGCATTTGGGTCGCTGCTAACCAGTGTCCCACTCTGTCCCCACCCCTGGCAGCTGTGCTCGGCATTGGGGTGGAGACCTCCCAAGACGTGTTATCCAGCCCTCCGCCCAATCCTACCACGTCCATCAGGAGAGCCATGACGTCCATCATGTATTGTGCCAAACCAGGGTGAGTGAAACATTTGCATGACCGACACAACAAGCCCAATCAAGGAGCGTGGTCTCAACTGCAGAACCCCTCCGGGCCTTTTCAGCAGTCTGTCTTGAGTCCATCCAGTGTTTCTGGCTCTTGAGATGGAAATCGTACATGGCTGGCCTCACCTGTCAGTCAACGGTGCAGAATGTTGACAGCTTTACAGGGACAAATGGCTTGGAGCAGCTGGAGCAAGACCGATGCAGAGAAATTCACATGGTTAGTACCCCAAATTGCCCTGATCAATACCGCTGGCACTCATCTGTAATGAGCAGTCCTGAAAGGAGGCAGCACGGAATAGTTTCGAGGTAGCTGACAGCGTGAAGAGTTGCTTATTCATATTGGCATCATTAGCTCCTCAGAAGAAAGCATAGTTCCTTTCCAGTGATGTTAGACTGCCATTAACCAGCCGATCTCTAGAGGGCCATTGCAGTGAGTTGCTGTCGAGTCAGCTCTGACTCTCGGTGAGCTTATGCCGGACAGAACGAACTGCTGTCTGCGCGGTGCCACCTTCATCATCACTGGGATGCCTGAGGTCAGTGGGGGGCAATTGTGTCAGCCTCTCATGGAGGCTTTACCCTTCCTTTCGCTGACCCTCTGCTTTGCCATGCACAGTGTCCTTTTCTAGAGACAGGTCTTTCCTGATGACGTAGTCCAGGTAAGCGAGATGAAGTCTCACCATCCTCACTTTGAAGGAGCCGTTGTATTTATTCTAACACTGACCTGTTCATCCTCCCACAGACCACAGCACGTTCACTCTTCTTCACCAACACTGCAGTTCCAGTACATCGGTTCTTCTTTCTCCCTGTTCATTGTCCAGCTCTCACGTGCACAGGAAGCAATTGAAAATACCATGGCTTGGGTCAGGCACACCTTAGTCTTCAAAGTGACATCTTTTCTTTTTAACACTTTAAAGAGTGCTTTTGAAGCAGATTTGCCCAGTGCAATATGTCATCTGATTTTTTAACTGCTGGTTCCGTGCTTCTTCAAAGCAGTCAAGAGAGGTCACCAGATAAAAGCTGTGAAGTTCTTCCTTCCGTTCTCCTGTGGCACACGAGTGAACATCCCCCTCGGTATCGGGCCCTCCGTAAAATGAGTGAGGGCTTTAGTATCTTTCCCCAGTGGCTCTTCCCCTGCAGTATCTAGGGAACCGTTCCTGCTTTAAGGGACATGTGTGGGCACTAACATTAATATATATTTAACAGGCTCATTCAAATGAGAAAGACGGTGCAGACATCCCTTCCCAGCCTTCCCTGTGGCACAGCTAAGCCCTTGAGGTGCCCACGTGGGAGTCCTTCCCTCTGAAATATTAGCCATTGTGGTTAAGAAGCACCAGGGGCTTTCAGAGTAGTCATTCTGTAATCCCTTCATTTGTTTCTTCCACTTCAATTTGCAGTTGATCTTCTGGACGGCAATGCCTCTGCTTAGCATTCAGGTCACTCCTGTGTGCTTGCTCCTTCTCTTCCGCTATTTATCCCGGTAATTTATTCCTCTCTCCCCTCAACACACTGAAAGGTATTTGCATTGCACAGTAATAGAGCAATACAATATATTGAATTTAAGTCGTAACCCGAAGAACTCCGAGTGCTTTGCTGACAAGAACCCTCTTAGTTACCACGAGAGAAGGGAGCAGACAGGCTGCTCCGGAGACACTTGAGTAGTCTCTATGCTAACCAGATGCGCGGAGTAAATTTCCGCCCCCGCT